CTTTGAACTGTCTTCCTTAAGCTCTCATGTCAGTTTAATTTGATTTAACTGCTTGCCTAGACACGTCTTTTGGGACAGTAGCTAATTTGACCGTATTAGATAAACGTGCTAAAGTAGTGATCATTAGACCTCATCTTTATAACGTAGACTTTAGTTCAAAGGGCATAAGGGTGGAATCGTATAGATTCATTGTGGTTCAAATAGTGATTGAAACAGGGATCAATTCATCACTCCCACTATCAGTAGGTAATAGCACATATATTATGATTTGTATGCTATGGTGTATCCTCATTTCAATGAGTGTGTCACATGTCCATTAAACATACACCATACGAATCTTAGTCTAGTTGCTACACAAGCATCTAACCTAAGTCTTCTAGCCTAGTCGCCTTCTTGGCGCCCACCTAGATACTCATATCCAGCTTTACAAGCTTCAACATGAAATAAATCTCATGTTCGACTTCTGTTAAGTCTTACCTTAGACATTTCTAAGGCGACGTTTACCTTGTGCATATTGGTACATTCAACATACACATGTCTGATCTCGCAGCCCAATGCGTTGAGGATATAAATGTCTCATCCTACTCGCTATCTCAGCACCAAGGTGAATCATTTGTGTGAAAAACGGATTCTAGCTTGGTGACACTCGTAAAGATGTGTAAACAATCATTTCAAAAATAAATAAATATGAAATAAAAAACTTCAATGCCTTTTTATTCAATAATAATGTCAAATACAAAGAAATACACATCAAACTCTACATAAACCCATATTCTTTACATGAGTCAGAAACGAGTTTCTAATTATGGGTTTAATTATGGGATCAGCGAGCATATTGCTGGTTGAGATATGTTTCAACACTACTTCACCCTTGGTAACCTTGTTCCTAAAGAAATGATATCATGTATCTATGTGCTTAGAGTTGCCATGATACTTAGGATCTTTAATGTATACTAAGGCCAAAGTACTATCACAATAGACAAGTACAGCTTCTTGAGCATAAGCCGTAACTCCCATATGTCGTAGAAACCTCCTAAGCCAAACAGCTTCTTGAACAGCTGATCCAATAGCAACATATTCTGACTTCATTGTGGATAGAGCAATACAAGTTTTCTTCTTGCTACACCAAGAAACAATTCCACCTCCAAGGACAAAAGCATAACCTAAGGTGGACTTGCGTTCATCTCTATCGCTTGCCCAGTCTGCATCACTATATCCTCTCAACTTCAGTGAGTTTGTCTATAATTACTTTGATAGCGGTGAGCTTGTTAATGATTACTTTGATAACGGCTTACCATGCCCACGACATGGCAAATGTCCGGACGCGTGCAAAACATCGCGTACATCAGATTTCCTATTGCAGAGGCATAAATGACGTTTGCCATTTGTTATTTTTTTTCTTAGTCTTTGGACACTGTGCTAAGGACAATATTGCGTCTCTTTCCATAGGAGTGTCTATGGGTTTGGAGTTCTCAATCTTAAATCATTCAAGTACCTTCTTAATGTAAGTCTCTTGAGATAAACTTAGAAGTTTCCTTGGGTGATCTCTCGTGATCTTAACTCCAAGCACATAATGTGCTTCACCCATATCTGTCATCTTAAAATGGGATGACAACCACGTTTTTGTGGTTTCTATGGAGGTTTTGTCATTTCCCGTTATTAGGATGTCGTCAACATACAGAGAAAGTATGAGAATACTTTTCGCATATTTCTTAAGATACACACAGTGGTATTCCTCAATCATCTCAAAACCAAATGAAGTGATTGAATTATGGAATCTAATGTTCCACTGTCTAGACGCTTGCTTGAGGCCATATATAGAACGTTTTAGGCGGCAAACTTTGTGTTATTGTCCCTTGGCCTCGAAGCCTAGAGGTTGATCCATGTATATCTTCTCGTCTAGTTCTCCATTGAGAAATGCTATCTTAACATCCATTTGGTAAAGTTCCAAATCTAGTTGAGCAACAATAGCTAAAATGAGGCAAATAGAGGCAAACCTCACCACAGGGGAGAATGTCTCTTCATAGTCTACACCTAATTGCTGAGTGCATCATTTCACCACAAGGCGTCCGCCTTGTGTTTGATTTTTAAAACCCACTTGTTTCCAATGGTTTTACGCTCAGGCAGAAGGTCAACTAACTCATAAACAGTATTTTTGTCCATGGAGCTCATCTCTTCCTCCATTGGAGTTATCCACTTTTCTTTGGCTATTGAAGACAACGCTTCTTTGTAAGAAGAAGGTTTGTCTTCCTCTAAAGGTATGCAAATGTAGGCATCCCTATCAACCTTAAAATGATGTTTGGGAATGTGGCCCCTCTTGCTTCTTCGAACCGTGTGACCTTGAATTTCAGAGGGTACGCTCCCATCATCGGGTGTATTCTCTTGAGTGTTTCTAGATACATTACTTCCAATGGATTGTGTACTCATACTCGGATCAAGTCATCCTACATCATATTCAACGACCATCATATTGGAAATTAATTCCCCTCATTCGCTTGAAGATGTTATAAGTTTTTCATCTTTCTCCAACTCATGGAAATCAAGGTTTTTGACAGTGTCGCCAAGTTTTAGGCAGTCATTCTCTACGAATTCGACATCACGCGAATCAATCCATCTAAATGTTCACCATACATCACATAATCTTTCGAGTTTTCACAATATCTTATAAAGATATGTTTATTTGCTGTAGGACCCACATTTCCAAACTTATGTGATTGATTATGAACAAATCCAACGCAACCCTAAGGACGCAAATTACCTAGATTGGGTTTTACATCATTCCAAAGTTCGTATGAGGTTGAGGGAAACATCTTTGAAGACACACGGTTAAGTATATACGTCGCAATCAATAATGCATCACCCCAGAAAGATATGGGGAGATTTGCCTGCGCCATCATAGACCTACCCATGTCTAATAAAGTTTTGTTTCTTCTTTCAGTAACACCATTTTGTTGTGGCGTGTAAGGAATAAAAAGTTATCTGCTTATCCCCTTACTTTCACAAAAAAACCTTAAATTGGTCAGACAAATACTCGCATCCACGATCAGTGCGAAGAGCTTTTACAGTCTTCCCTTTTTTATTCTCAACCTCAGCTATGAAACATTTAAAATAATCTAAAGCTTCATAGCGATGAGCAATCAAGTACACATAACCATATCGCGTGTAATCGTTAATCAAAGTCAGAAAATAAAAGGCGCCATGATGGGCCTTCACACTCATTGGTCCATAGATGTCAGAGTGGATTAACTCTAACGGTTGAGTAGCTCGAATAGCCTTTACAAAAGGCTTTTTAACTGCTTTGCCAACTAAACAAGGCTCACATACATGTAGATTTACATTAGTGAGTGACCTCAACAGGCATTCTCAAACTAATCTTGTCATTCTATCTTGACCTATATGCCCTAGTCTAGCATGCCATGCTTCAGAATTAACATGTTTAATAAATGTTACTAAACAAGTAGAATAACAAGAATCAATCAAATCCAAGCAAACAAAATCGTTCTTTATTGAACCATATCCAATTTCAACTTGATCCAAATAGATCACAAGTCTAGATGGGCTTAAGTAAAAACAATATCCTTCATATAAAAGTGCAGTAATTGAAAGTAAATTAAATTGCATTATAGGGGCATGCAAGACATTATGCAGAAGTAGTTGACACCCAATGCTTAGTTGTAGTCGATATGAACCAACTCCCAAAGCTTCTGTATGACTTCTTTCACCCACGTACACCCAATGTGACTTTGATGGAAAACGTTGATAATTTTCGAATCCTCTTTTATCTCACGTCACATGCTTGGTTGCTCTTGTGTCTACAATCCAATTGTCAGAAATGTGAGCAACATGTTTATGTGAACATACACAAACAATGACATATTTAGGGTTAGGGATTACCTTTATATTCGGCTCAGTGAAATTACGAGTGAAGTGTTCCTTTTTTTTACAGTTAAAGCACGTTGATTTCAGTGGCGATGCCAGGAATTGACGGGGGGAGGGGTGAAGTTAAAAGATTGTAAGGTTCAAAAGAATAGCAACAACCAAATCCTTTTATATAATAAGGTCTTCCATAATTTATCAATACAAACAAATTACAATTGTTGCCGGCGAGGTTTCATATCATAAAAACGTCGCATAATAGGCTCATTATCAATAAAAGCAAATACATCTCTCTCAATGTAAACAAACATGCTATCACTCAACCATTGATCTCCCATTTTGTTACATAATGGTGTTTTCACAATCTTCATAGCAGAAAAAGCTCTCTCCACCGAAGCGGTTGCAACCGGTAACACCAAAGCCAATGTAAGAGGCTTATACACTAACATATAGCTTGCACACCTTCCGGTCTTCACCAACTCCTTTGCAAGATCACCAATTCCTCTCAATGATGAAAACTCACTATGCATCTTCATATTGTGAATGTAATTGTGAAGTTGAATGGGAAGATTTATGAGGTCCATATGATCAAAATCTTGAGGATAAAGTTGGGCTAGACGAACAATTTTTGCTTTGTCAAAAGATGCAAAATTATTCACCGGACTCAAACATGCCATACAAAGAAGCACTTCGGTGTTTACCTCATCAAAGCGATCATTCAATTCCTTTAATTGCGTATCAAGGACTTGAAAATAGAGATCCACACGATAGTAATGAAAGTTTGTGAATCTTAGAGCTTTACACCTTGATTTTCCGGGTATGAAATGCAAATCTTCCATGTTAGTAACAACAATATCATGTTTTTCACAAAACTTTTGTACATCATCAAGCAAGTCCCCAAAATCATCATCTCTCAAGGATTGTAGTCTTTGCTTGCATACTTTCACTAACGCCATCGCATTCACAATATCTTGATCTTTCTTTTGTAATACTTGTGATAACTCATTTGTAATTCCCAATAAAAGTCTTATAAAAAAAAGGTGAAACAAAAAATCAAAAGTTTGTATGTCATGGAATAACTTACTTGCTTTTCCGAAATTGTCTTGGTTGGTATCATCTTTAATCTATTCAAGCACCTCCACCACAGCTTCAAACATGACAATAATACTCACTATAGTACCATAATGTGAGTTCCAACGTGTATCACAAGGACACATGAGACTACTCTTTTGATTTAACCCTCTACCCATTTCAAGATCACCAACATCAAGAGCTTTCTTATTTTGTTCTAGTTGTTTCTCTCTAAATGCATCACGACACTTACACGATGATCCAATAGTATTGACCAAGATACTAGCATTGTTGAAGAAAATGACGACACCCTCAATTCCCTTTGCAACGGCTACAAGAGCTAGTTGAAGTTGGTGTGCAAAATAATGAACATAAAATGCTTGAGGATACTTGTTCAAAATCTTTGTTTTAAGGCCATTTAGCTCACCCTTCATATTACTAGCTCCATCATAGCCTTGTCCTCGTAACTTGGATATACTCAAATTTGTTGTAGCAAAGAATCTCTCAATAGCCTCTTCAAGCGAGCTACTAGTTGTAGAGGTGACATGTTGCACACCCAAAAACTTTTCAATTGCTTTTCCTTTTTTGTTCACATAACACAATACCACCGCCACTTGCTCTTTAGTTGAAGAATCACGTGATCCATCAACCAAAAGAGAAAAAAAATGCAACTTCCATATCTTTAGTGATTGCATCTATAGTTTCAATGGCACAAGCACGGACAAGATCTTTTTGAATATCGGAAGAAGTATACTTAAGATTCTTGGGAGCATTCTCAAACACAAGTTTTCTAACTTGTTCATTATGCTTGGAAAGAAATTGCATAAGCTCCAAATAATTACCTCCATTGCTTGATTTGAACAATTCATCGTGGCCACGAAAAGGCAAACCTTGTCCCAACAACCATCTTGTACACTCAAGTGAGGCATTCAATAAAGTATGATAATTAATGCGAGCTTCATCGGTTTGCTTACTCACAAATGTTTCAATGTGTTGTTTTTGTGCCATCAAATCGCTAGCTTATTGTATAACTTTATTATGAAGACTTCCAACACCTCCCTCATGGACTCGAAGATTTTGGGGTCCTTTCTTCCAATTTGTAAACCCTTTCTCAGTGAAGACATCACTTCCAGTGCTACCCATTTGATCGAAATCACATTTGAAGAGATAGCAATAACGGCAAAATGCATCATTTTTTGATATACAATACTCCAACCACTTAAACTTATTAAACAAACCGATGATAAAACATCTTTTGTCACTAACTTTTCTTGGCATGATGTGGTCTCTAGGTTGACAATGATCATTTTGGAGATAGTGTCTACGAATTGCTTCACGATAATTAGGTGGATAATCAAGCATTCGACGTCTATGTCCAGGGTCTGCAGGAAGATTAGCCAATATTTCATCCAACTCAGTGGCCTCACTTTGTTGTGACCTACTAGGAATATTCGAAGGAGGACTTCTTGGAATATTTGAAGGAGGAGGAGGACTACTCAGAATATTTGAAGGAGAAGGACTACCCAAAATGTTTGAAAGAGGATTTAAGCATTATTTCTTATAGTATCATTCCATTACGTAACTGTAAAAAAGAAAGAAAAAAACATTCTTAGACTCTTAATCCTAGAGTAGACTATACTATAGTATGCATAATAACCAATCCAACCAACAATTCAATTAATCAATACCAATAAGCATACAAATTATTCGATAAATAAAAATTCAATTCAACTAATCATATGAATAATTGTATACATAATACATTATGTAATAATTCAGTTTATTAATCATTAATCGAGAATTCAAATTTTAATTTTTAGCCTAAAAAATAATTTCATAATTTCATATCAATAATCAATAACCATATTAGTGCATTTAGTGCTTTACTATATGATTCTATACCAATTAAACAAAATTCATTTTAAATAATTAATTAGGGTTAGGGATTATAAATTTAGGAATTAAAAAATTTATCTAAATAATGGGTTTGAAAGGCTACCATGTAGACTGTAGATTGTAGTGGAGCTGGCGCAGCAAAAAAGGCCAAACGGTGTTGCTGTGCTGATCAGTTCCTTCATTCCGTTCCATTTTCTGCTTTGAAAAGGGGAGCAGCGACTACTTTGCTACTGCTCTGATTGGAGGAAGTAAAGGGCAAAATGACACAGAGAGATTGAATGAATGGGGGACACGCGGTCCCCCTATATGAAATTTTTTTTCTTCCGACTTATCAAAACGGCGCCGTTTCATTTTTTCATTTTTTTACCTGGACCAAAACGACGTCGTTTTGGCCTAGTTGTTTAAAAAAAAATTAAGTCAGCTCTGCTGCCTACAGAGCAGAACCAACCAGACAGACCACCAAAGCAACAGAGCAGCAAAACCAGTGGGTTTTCTGGCATGGGAAGGGCAAAACCAGCGCTCCAGTCTTGTTTTTCTGGCGAAGGGAGTGGCAGCCGCCACTCCTCACCCTCACGTGGCTTCGCCACTAGTTGACTTAGATTCGTCTTTCTTGCCACGTTTACCTCTCTGGGCCTTGATCTTATTAGAATTAGGAGCAAGCTTTGCATCCTTCTTCTCATACTTGGTCTTACCCTTTCCTTTGAACTGGTTATCCTTTTTGGACCCACCTTGAGTCAAAAAGGCAGTACTCTGGGTCGCCACTCGACGTTCACCTTCTAGTTTAACATGACGCGAAATGTCATGAAAGTTCTTAATCTGATCATTGTGCGTCATGATCTGTTTAAGGGCATCCCATGAGTCTAGGAGGGACCTAATCTGAGACGCCCCGCTCTCGATGTCCAAGGGACATCGGGATGGCCACGTGTTGGCCGACACCTAAGGGTGACATAAGCCATTTAATGAATGCATATGCCAAGAACATGTGAAACATGCATATATGCAAAGTAATATTCAAATATAAGTTTTACAAAATACAATAATAATATTCAACTGCCAATAATGAATCTAATGATAATGCATGACATGTTCAGAGCATATAACTAATCTAGAGTACAAGCGGAAGGTAAAATAGAGAGGTGCTATTACAATAGATGTCAAAGCAGAGATGATAGCACAATATCATTGGTAGGGGCGTAACTTGGATTGTAAGCCTTGTGCCTATGTCCTAAGGGGGCGCAAAACAAACATGAGTGGACCAAGTTAATATATATATATATATATATATATATATATATATATATATATATATATAATGTTGAAACATTTATTCAATAACGTACTAACCCCCAAAGTTTTATGAAAGCTAATAGCATAATATGTGATAGTTTTTCCGAAAACCCTAGCATGCTATAAAACCATTCATAAAACATATATCGTATATAGTGTGCTAAATAGTGGTATCAGTATCGCCCAAAGGCACATAGAACTCTTCATTCGTCTGAAGGCTTTCCTACATAAATTCTTCAAATATCAATCGCCCATAGGCTCCTATAGCACCCACCCAAAGGCATATAAGTATCTATCGCCCGTAGGCTCCTACAACACCCACCCGAAGGCATATATAAGTATCACCGTCCGTAGGCTCCTACAGGAACTGCCTGAAGGCATATATGTGACCACTAGATAAGCACAAAAATCATTGAATATAACCTTTCCAACATAAACATATATCTCAAAAACATCTTCATAGCATATAGTCATCCATAATATATACTACAAAGAAGTGTAAAAACATGTTCCTAAATAGTATATAGTCATCCATCATATATACTACAAAGAACATAAATTCGATAAAGTATGGTATTCCAAAATATTCTCAATAAGCATGATAATCATATAATGTAAATCCAATTTACTTATAAAAAGTTTCATAAAATGTAACCATTAAATCATGCTTTTCATGTATGTATTTCTACTATTAAAACATGCATTTTAGAAGGGGTCCATTCACAGATACTCCGTCGTCGAAGAGCCATACGAAAAAGGAAAAACGGAATGGCTGCTAATAATCACACTTAAGCACATAAAGGGTACAATTAATAAAACTCTACTCAAATGAATGAATTTCGAAAAACAGACGTCAAAAACGATGTAGGACGTCGAAATTAGCCTAGGAAAGGTCACGATCGAAACCCGCAAAAGTCAACAAAAAGTCAACGTTGACGGGTCAAAGTCAATGGTCAAACATTGATCGAAAGTCAACGGTTAACGTCTCTGGGTCAACTGAGTCAACTGGGTCGGGTCAACGGGCCTTTGGTTCGATTCGGTGTTGGGTCGGTTCCATGGCATATTCATATGTATATATCTCATGCTTTCAAGGTTTTCATACATGGCATATTCATATGTATCTCATGCTTTCATACGAGTAGTGTGTGAATGGCTCTGATACCACTATTGGAAGACTATAAATAAATTTGAAAGGACGTGTGTAACTTTTATACGGAAACTTGAATCTCAACAAGCTCCTACAAACACGAACAACTGCTCTGACCCTCCGTGCACATCTAGAACCTCGTAGGTCATCGGGTTGACTACGGTATGTCGAGTTGCCCCCTAGTTTTCGCCTCTTAAGACCTAAAGCCGAAAGTGATAGCTCTAAAGACCTAACTAGAATATTTGAACTGTGGAAAAACTTGTGTTTCTTATTTTTTCTCCCTTCTCCAAAGCCTCCTTGTATAGTCATTGGGAAGAGTGTACAAAGACTGAAAAGCCCATGAAAATCCCAAGTATATTTTAATATGAATATCTCTTGATTTTCATCTAATTATCACATAGATAATTAGGAGGTTAATATCCTCATGTGGGTGGAATATCCTTTGATATCTATTTATCCCATAAGATAAATCCTACATAATGCATATGGAGGGGTTTCTAATCCCCTCCAGATAACATTTATGGTCCACTCCTTCATAACTTGTCATTAATCTCTTTATAACTTGCCTTTAAATTATAATTTTTTTTTTACCATACGATATCTACACTAAGGGGTTCAAGAATGGGTTAAGTCTCACAATGGATTAGCAATCAACCATAAATTTTTTATCTCTCGGTCCTTTCTTTGTTTTGAAAAAGAACTTCGGCAACTTAAAATTTAATAAATTATGGGTTGTTTGATAACCATATTGTTTTTTTATTTTTTATTTTGTTTTGTTTTTGGTTTTTAGTTTTTTTTTAACTGAAAACAAGTTTGGTAACTATTTTCAGTTTTCAAAAAAAATAAAAACTAAAAACTAAAAACCAAATTGTCAAAACTCAAGAAAGTAGTTTTCACTTTAGTTTCAAGTTAAAAAAAAAAAATAAATAAATAAACTGAAAGTAGTTACCAAAAGGGTTTTCAGTTTTTAAAAAAGTGAAAACAAAAATTGAAATACTAATAGTTACCAAACGGCTCATTTGGGTTTTAGTTTTCAGTTTTCATTTTCATTTTTTTAAACTAAAAACCAAATAGTCTCCAATTTAATAAATAAATAAATAATTAAAAACGAGATAATTATTAAACAGACCCTTAGACTTGTACAATTCATTTCATCTACGTATTGATAATCTTACCTCATTGTCTTAATAAATAAATAAAAGTAAATTATTTATCTAAGTATTCATGTCCCCCTCCTCTAACAATCAAGGAATGGGGTGGGAAGTTGCTTTAGTTCGTGGTTACGTGATCACCATCAAACCCTAAAATTTATAATATAACATGCTTAAGAGGATTAGGAAACATATGACATAAACACTAAATAAATATATCACAACCTCTAACTATCACAAGACAAAATGTCTGCATACTTTCATAAATATATTGGTGTCGGGATGTAACCGATAGCTACACATCATGAAAACGACGCCGTGCCTGCAGCATCATGTAATTTAAACCCAAAAATAATTAGTCCGACTAATTGTGATTTTTGTGTACCAGGTTCATCTAATTAGCAAATCGGAATGGACGTGAAGAAAAAAATAATAATAATGCAGTTGGTACGTATTTAATTTCTGCACGGGTCATCTGATAATATAATTAATAATAGCAATGTTTTGAAGAAGATTTCCAAGAAGAAGAAAATTTTCTTTATGATCGGAACACAAGTGGTAAACTACTTATTTTTATATAAATGGTGAGAAATTTTATTTTTTAAATTATTAATTTTTTAACACACACATCCTACCATTTATAATGACATGTGGTGTACCATTTCGTGTTTCGTTCACATTAAAAAAAATCTCTTTCCAAGAAGAGCCAAGTCACCAATGAGTATGCACTGGTTGTAGGCCACATTCAATTAAAAATATAAAATATAGAAGGAAGTGGAAAAAGGGTTGCGAGGATTAAGTTCGACGGCATGAGCAATCGAACGTGTGAATCATACCAAAAGTTGTCACGCATGTGTGAAAGACTGTTTATCATCGATGATATGTAAATTAAGTTAGACCGTATGAGCAACTAACTAACTTTAACACAACTCATAGGGCATAAGCATATTTGGTGCGTGGTTGAATGTTTGACTCATATCAAACAAACATGATCAACTGTTTCTGAAATTTATACACGTACGTATGTCTGGTTGTACATCGTTGATAAAGTATATTTAGGTTAATGCATGGTCGCCTGTGTCTAGCACAAGAAATTCTCTAACACACTTACTTTAATTTTAATAGTGTCACCCTCCAACAAACAATTACCACCCTTAAAAAAATATACTATCCATCCTATAAAAAATTGTTACATGTTAAATGCTAAGGAAACTTTTTTTAAATGAAACTTTTAATGAACTCTCTGTCACCTTACAATTTAAAAACATTAGGAAAACTAACGAAAAGTAAAAAAAAAAAAAAAAAAAAAAAAAAAAATTAGTTTTAATGAAAATGACAAATAAATGTGTAGTGAATAGTATTAGAAAAAAGGTAAAAATGTGGTTTTTCGTTAAAAATGAACAGTATCGGGAGGGTTTTATTAAAACTCCCTTTAACATTAGTTATTATGCCAATACTATAAAACATCGTGTAAAAAACATGAGATAACAAAAAATCCAATCTTAAAGAAAATCTCCTTTAACTTTTCTCTTGTTACATATGAATAAGTGACACAGGACAGATGCTAGTGAACACACAAACAAGTAAACATCTATTTATCGTTCTTTCGCTTACAAAATGCGGTGGATGATGTGCCACAAGAATGTCAAATACTCTTGGCTTTACGTTATTGGGTTCATGCTATTTTCTTATGAGAAAGAAGTCCCCACTTGTTATGGTTGATTCATATTGACTAAATTATTCAAATTTCGCTGTAATTATCATTCAATAACTTTATTCAGCCTGCAACGTGTATGAATAATTGAAAAGAAAAAAAAAACACGTGACATTATTTGTTTTTTTTAATGTGATAATTAATTTAAATTATACCCTAACTTTTGAAACAATTTGAAGATAATCCATGATGAAGCTACTTTTTACCTAATGTGATATAAAAGTTTGTTTTGATTTAATTTTGTATTAGTGTGTGTTTTATCTTATTTTCCTAGACCTTTTGATCCTAGACCTTAATAATTAGTGAAAGCAAAGTTGTATATGATGACAAGTTATCTATTTGAGAAATGCTGAAGAACTCTCAAAGTGAGGTTTTTTAGACTCTCTATTACCTCATGTTTTTTATATAATGTTTTATAATGTTGGCACATGAATTGACGTCCAACTGTAACAAAGAGTCCATGAAGAGTCTTCCTGTTGATATGAAAAGAAAAGAAACGACCAGAAATTGAAACGGTGTGTAAAAGGGAAAAAAA